TGCTTCGCTTATGTGTAGCTAAGTATACCGCGATAGCAGTTTTTTCAATGCTCCTTAAATGTAATACCTGCTTCATGGCGAAGGCGGTTGCCAAATAGGTTGAAAGCAATCAAAGCTGGCCCGCAAGCGGCGCGCGGAATGACCGCTAACTGAGCGTGCGCGCTATATGGTTGACAAATACCCACGAGCCGCATGCGTGCCAGTCTTGCATGCTTTCAACCTATTTGGCGACCGCTTTCGTCATGGAGCAGATATTAACTACACCGTTCGCATAGCTTTTAGATTTTGCCAAGAAGTTACGTGACGAAATCAGCATGCATGAATACTTTGCTACACAGCCTCTGGAATTTTTTTGTTTCATAAATGGCAATGGCCTATTTTACAATGGTGCCTTATGCTGAAGATTTTCACCGTAATCTACAACATTGCAAGCACAGTGATTTGTTCCATACTATATCTACGTTATACCACTCAATGGTCGGCAAAAAATTCATCAGAATACGAATATTGACGATTGTATGTAAATATCTTGAGACACCTTGTATATGAATGCTACCAATATTACCAGTATGCCTGATTGGAACATCTTGACAACTTGAACTAACTTAAGTGCTCAAAATGTAGTCAACATTGCTCGGGAAAGAGAAGGAAAACAAAAAAGGAGCTTATAAATGCTTATTGCAACAAGCATTGGAGGGAAAAATTCTGTAAAAATGCAGAAAAACTGCCGCGCTTTTTATGATCAGGTATTGGAAAATTATAATGCAACACTGCTGTAAGGTTCAGGAGTGAATTGGCTTTGTAGCACTTTCTAGACCTGTTCGAAACTTACGCTTGAAGCGAGGGTATATATAATCAAAAGTTATAAGAGTCATTGGAATTAGTTTTTTATACTTTTCTCTGGTACAAAGAATCATTGATTAATGTTAATAAAAAAGCTCAAACCACTGAGTTAGTCCTAGAGTGGGGTTTTGATGATATGCTTGCGAGCGAAAAGCTAACAGATAAAGACCGACCACCATGGAGCTTGCAATACAAGCACTGGTGAAACGTCGGTCTGCATTGGCTTACTTACTGTTTTCGTAAGAATGAAAACAGGTTTGCTAGCGCTAAACGCTAGAAATTATTCAAATTATGTTTCACTTCCCTTAAGGTGTCCAAGTAACGCTCTCTTAGAGCGAACCCTACAGGAAGTAAATCAGTTTTTCTCTCCTTTTCCAGAATGCGCCACATTTTTTCGATGGATTTTGCATTGAGCTTCCGAATTTTTGCAGGCTTGTCCTCAAACATAAACACATCAAGTACCAACAAATCTTTGTAATTTGAATCTTCCAAAAGCGGGCTATGGTTTAACACTAATTTTACAGAGCAAATGAGAGTCTAGGGATTCGAGATATTGAATTTCGAGTTATTTGGGTACGTCTGGAGCGTGTTTAAAAAAACATAGGTTACAATGATTCTATTTCTAAAGACTTTACGATTCGGAAAACAAAAACACACATTAGAAAGAGGACAAAAAGTTGCATCGGATAGCACCCAAGCTGCTCTCTTTTCTTTTTGTTGTTCTAGAGGCTTGCGGACCAAGTATGAAAATTGCAGCATCAGTTAAAATTCTATCAGGAAAGCATGACGCGTTCTGAAAAAAGGAGAAAACTGCTTTGCACTCTGTAGGGTTTGCTCTAAAATTGCGCTACTTGGACCCCTTCGCAAGGTTAATATAGAAAAAATTTGTGAAACTTAACCATTTTGAAAAGCATGGATTGCAGATATTTGATAATTTCCTGACAAGAGAAGGATATTTTGCGACCGTGGCCATTTGTAACAAATTGTAGATCAAAATGCGTCTTTGATGCCGATTCGAATACTGTCTTGACGTCTATTGCGAAACGATAACCTGGATGAAGTTATGATTACTTTTTCATGAATAAATTGCGTTTCTGCCGAGGGTCAAATCATCAATGAAAATTTTCTTACCTTCTTATGCTGGATATAAATTAGATAAGTATGATACAACAGTTATGCCTTCCAGAATTCCATTTAAAACGGTAAGCTAAAAGAAATTTGATTTTTACTACCCCAAAGTAAGCAAATTTTCAACGAAGAAAAGTTTCTAACGTCCTTTAGAAGATTGTGAGAATTCTAGCACAGGTTTAGAATCATTGAGAAGCGTTTTGAGATGAGAGAGATCCTTTCCTATGTGAGAGCTAATTATTATGTTTCATTTTCTAAATGTGTTTTACAACATTTAGAAAATGAAATTCTGCGTCGAATACTACCAGGACCTCTTAGAGATCTTTATTCCACGAAATGTGCCGTTCATTCAAAAAAGCGACATTACTTTCGGAACCTAATATTACTCAACTGCTAATTGCTCTGCTCAACCTTGGGTAGTCATTTTGTTTTGTTCCAGAAAGCAGGCATCCTCTTGAATCACAGTATAGAGCAAATTACCAATTGTTTCTTAAGAGTTACGGTGGGAACTAGGCACAGTCTGTTATTGTGAAATGGGCAGTAAAAAAATCAGAAAGAAAGCAGGATAACTGCGCAAAACTTTCAACAAGTGAAAGCAGTACACAGCGTCAACAAGTTTTTCAAACCTTGCTTTTAGCATCGCATTTTACAAAAAATTGAAGAAAAACGGCTGTTAAGCTTCATCTGGCATACTTCTGGCATACATCTGGCATCATAGCAAAACTACTAAGGTAGAGTGCGAACTTCACATTTGAAACTAACGGGAAAAAAAACTAAACTAGCCTAACTTTGAGCAGGTAAAATTGACAGGTGGAGAATTCTGGCAATTATCAAGAAAAGCATACAAGATTATGATACGAAAATGTATCCTTAAGAAAGAGAAGGAAAGGCTGCATAGAATGCATGTTGAAACTCAATCGGGCCTTCATTGTGCCTGGTACAGTGATTTGAAGAAACCGACAAAACTTTCGGGACAACCTAATAGAATCGTTGCAGCATAGTCAATGACTTTTGGAAAATTACCAAAATTTGCGGGTAAAATTTCACAATTTTTCTAAACATTTATCAACCCTCAAGGGGTCCAAGTAACGAATTCACAGAGCAAACCTTACAGGTTGTAAATCAATTATTCTCTCCTTTTCTAGAACGTGTCATACACTTTCGATGAATTTTTCACTGAACTTCTGGATTTTTGCATCAAACACAAACGAATCAAACATCAACAAATCCTCGGAACTTGAAACCTTCGAAAGCGGTTTACGGTTCAGCACTAATTTTGCAGAGCAAATGAGAGTTTACGGAATCGAAATATTGAATTTTGAGTTTTTCGGGTGCGCCTGGAGCGTGAGTTATAATGATTTTATCCCGAAGGCTTCAGAAATCGGAAACCAAAAACAGCCCATTAAAAAGTGGAGAAAAAGCTGCATCGAATGGCACCCAAGCTGCTAAAAGATTAGAAAAATTGTGGAACTTGATCATTTCAAAAAGCATGGGTCGCAAATTTTGATAATTTCCTAACAAGGGAAGGATACTTGGTGACCGTGGCCGTTCGTAATAATTTGTATATTAAAAATGCGCCTTTCAATGCTGGTTTGAATACTGTCTTTTACATCTGCGAAACGATAACTCGGATGAAGTAATGATTATTTTTTTATGATTAAATTGCGGTACTGCGAAGAGACACATTATTAACAAAATATTTTACTTTCTTATGGTGAATATGCTTTAGATAGGTAACAACAGTATGCCTTTTAAAGGCACCGTCCACCCAAAATCTCGAATTCAATGTTTTTGTCACCTTCAGGCCTTTTGAAGGCCCTGATTCCGGATATGGAGTCGAAAATCCGCGAAACCCCCAAAAATCCCTGTTTCGAGAACCCTCTGCAACAAGCGCGGGCGAGATAAAGCATGCAAGTGGGCGGGGCGACCCTGGGCGCCCCGCCTACTTTGCTACTTCCGGAGCAGATTACTCGCTCCAGAAGCAGTCTTTTGCGGCGAAGCTTGGGGATTCGTTTAGTGTGGAGGCCCACACTAGTACGCCATCATAACCTCGCCAACCTCCATTTTGGGTGGACGGTGCCTTACTTCAGAACGGTAACTTATTAAAATAAATTTGGTGATTTTTACTACAAAAGCACACAAATTTTCTACGAATAAAAGTTCATAACTTGCTTCAGAAGATCCTCATCGTCAGGGATCAAGCATAGATTTAGGATCAGCGTTTTGCGAATCATCTTACGGTGAACGTTGCATTACAAATGGCCACGGTCATCGAGTATTCTTTCCTTGCGAGAGCTAGACTGTGTTGCAATTTTCAAAACACTAGAAAGTGGATGAAATGCTGCGTCGAACACTATCAGAACCTCCTAAAAATCTTCGCGAAAAAGGCCATTTTTTTGAAATGTGACATTACTTTCGGAACCTAATATTACTCAACTGCTATTTGGTTTGCTCAACCTTTGGGAGTCATTTTGTTTTGGTCCAAAATGATACAAAGTATCTCCAAATATTCTTTACTGTTTTCGTCATGTCTCATCCTTTGATATAACAGTTTATAAAGCAAGCATCCGCTTGAATCACAGTGTGAAGCAAATTGCCAATCGCTTATTGGGAACTACGGTGGGAACTTCAGGCACATTCTATTATCGTTAAATGGGCCGTTAAAAAAATCGGAAAGAAAGCGTCAGCTAGTTTCGAGCTTACTTGATAATCTGAACAAGGCGTGGGTTCAATAGCTCAAACTTTCTCTAATGTTGCTACAGTAATCCTGCAATAATGAAAGTAAAAACGACTTGCTCTATGCCCGTAGTTGAGTTAAATTCAGCTCCAAAAAATGGTACTTCAGAAACGAAAAAGGCATTAAAGCACAAAAGAACGCCAACAATCAAACAATGAGGATTTTTTTGAAGTCTACAAAGGTTTCCACACCTCTCAACTAATGAAAGCGTTTTAGACTGAGTCTTTGTTAAGAAACACTTTCACACTTGTATTTAAAGGTTTACAAACTAATTTTTATTGGCATTGTTCAGAACGAAACGTTGGCCGAGACAAAAGCAATACAGAACATTGCGATATTGAGCATCATAAATGGTGGCTCTGATAAGGCAAAGTACAAAACAGCGATGCTTTCTGTGCAGTGTTATGCTCTGCAAAATAATTACACATACTTGCAACTAAATGGCGAGGATTTCAAAACAATATGTGAACAACGCCATGTGGGTCAATTAAATTTTATACGATAATGTACGAGCGTTAGTATTATAGGTCCTCCTCCAACGTCACTGCATTGTCGCACATATTTTAAAAACTTATAACTTTAGTTGGGTGCTGCATGTGGAAGCCGACATTGGCGTCGTCAATGAAAAAATGTAAGGAATGGCGTCGTCAATGAGCAAATGTAAAAAATTTCGTTTGCGCCGGTTTATCAAAAAACCTTTGTAGGCGAATAGAAGAGTATATCAAAGAGGATGTTGACCTAATTTTCTATGAAAGATTCTTCAATTTCGAAATAGCGGCAGGTAAGCGCATTTTCTGTGAAACCTAGCCTTGAGCTATGCTCAACCCTAAAACAAAAGCCCTTGAACCTCTCAAACCTACATTAGATTTCATATCAGGCTCGTATTTTGCCAAAAAATCAGATTTTTCTGTAATGTTTCTTCGTGGATGGGCGGATTATGAATTTCGTCTGCCGAAGACATTTCATAATGACAATTTATTGCTGCAAGTAAGGAGTATTCTTCATAAGTAGTTACCATACATTGAACTCTTATCAAAGATGTGGTTCGTGGAATTGCTGGCTCCTAATGCACCTTTGACTCAAACCTGCTGGATACTTTGGAGGAATGCGTTGTGGAAAAACGCAGTGAAACTCAAGTCCCTTTGGAAAATTTGGTCCCTTCACACCTTATGCTGTAGAGAAGCGCTAAAAAGCGCATTAACACCTCATCTTTTTCTTTACACAAAGGCAAGTTTCGATTATGATCAATTTTGTGATTTGCTCGAGTAAAGGAAGTTGTTGTTTTCTAGAATTTGCATTCAACAATTGTTGATAACGACCCAACACATAAACACTCCGCTTGCTAATACTATGAAAGTCATCATTTCTATTCTCGCACAACTCCCTGTCCCTTTTCCCTTCTACACACTTTTCCCTGCTTTCCATTGTGTTTTCGCAGTCAGCATGCTCACTGCCCTTCTGTACCAGCTCCCAGCTGTTCAATCCAAATGCAAAATAGGTAGAATCGAAAGAATTTTGATTTTAGTACGTGAACACGCATTCGTAATCAGCTTTTAGCAGCTCCTCCAGTAGCTCAAGGTTTGAGCAAATCGATAAAATAATTATCGATATACAACAAACGTAACCTGCGAGGTTCACCACGAACTCTTTCAGTGCTAGAAGAAGGAAGAATTTCTTTGTTGGCAACTTAGAATATCTGTTCGCCCATACCGTCTGAGTGGATTCGCGAATGGGTGCAAAACACTAACTTTGCGAACTCCACCTTGCCCCCCCCCCCGGGATGTTCGTATGCAGAATTTGGTCCGGATCGGTTCAAAAATAGAACTTTAGATCCAGAGCATACGTAAATGACATAGACAACAAACTTACAGCTATATTAGGTCAAAGCAAAGTTTTGTGAGTGTTTTGCGCCCATTTGCGAGTCCAGTCAGACGGTAAAGGTAAATAGATACTCTAAGTTACTACCAATACAGAAATTCTTCCTTTTCTAGCACCTATGTTTCCGATGCAACTTATGCGATGGTACGGAGAAGTTGCCGAAGCTTGCGATCTTTTTTTTGAATGTTTGAATTTTGATGAATTATATAAGGTTGTCCCGAAAGTTTTGTCGGTTTCTTTCATCGATCACCGAAACTCACAGAACACCAATCCATGGGCAAGCTGAGCACTATTTCATTCAGATTTTATCCTCTTTCATACGGCTATATTTTCTCTCTGATCTACCCTGTCTTTGCAATGTTATCGCCATGGCTTTTTGAGCAGCTCAGCAGTGACGCCAAATCTTCCCTGAATTTAACAATCTTTTATCCTGACGTTTTCAAAAAGCGCTGGTAACTATTACGTAAAGCAAATCTTTGGCTACATTTTACTCATTTAAGACTGCATGGACCACGTTTACCAAGTCCGTTATAATTAATAATTTATAAAAACCGCAAGTTTTTGGTTACGTTTACCACGTAAAAGTACCGAAAATTCCAAAAAGTTGCTTTTTCAAGGTAAATCAAACTTGGTCATGTTGCATAAATAATGTTTAATAAGAATAATTTTTGAATTCGCAAAAACTTTGAAAACTTCCGTGTATTTGCTGCAGTTGCGTGTTTCATGACTTTGCCAAAAATTGAGACCTCTTAAGAATAATTTTTTTAAGCTAAAAACAGCAGATTGGGGGAATCTAAAAGTATCACCTTGTTGTCCGAGAGTTGCTCTATTAGAACCGTACCTAACCATTAGAAACTTTAGAATAAAATTTTTGAAAATTAGCCGAACTTTGAGCAGATAAAATTGGCGGATGGAGAATTTTAGCAAATATCGAGAAAAGCATACAAGCTTGTGGCTCGGGAATGTATCCATGAGAAAGAGAAGAAAAACCTGCATCGAATGCATGTTGAAACTCATCCAGTTGTCATTGTGCGTGGTTTTACAGTGGTTTGAAAAAACCGACAAAACTTTCGGGACAACCTAATAGAATTGCTGTCTTGACTTTTGGAGGAGCGGAAATAACCAATAAATGGGGCAGATCGATCGCAAATCCAAGCGTATTCGCTTTTTTCTTTTCTTTTTTAAATTACTTGGAGTTGTTCAATAACATGACAAAGGAAAAATTATTTGTAGTATAAACCGGCCCTTAAAGTTCTCGAAACAACAAAGCATTCTGTGCCTGAGGGGAATAAACTACAGTCGCCCTGATCCCAACCAGGCCTAAATTGGTATGGCGGGAGTCCTTGTCGCGAGGGTTTTGCGTCACGTCCATGGCTGGCTAGTCTGCTTTCTCCTCAATCTCTTCTCTGCGACAGCGCGCGTTTGCAGCGCAAACCCCTAGCGGTGCGAGCGCGCAAATACAGCCGACGGTTTGGCCTGATCCCGATTGGAGCAGACTGTATAAATGTAATGATTCAAGCGAATTTAGCGACAAGACAAGACACTGCCGGAAATTATTTTAGAAAAGAATTATGCTTAAAGTTTGATAAGTTAACACTCAAAAAGGAGCTAGCGAGCAGAACTTGCGAAGAGAACCAGATACGAATGCATGAAGAACAACTTGCTCAAAAAAAGAATTGCAGCGAAAGTTGGCGAATTGATGTGCCCAAAACAGTAAAACGCATTGTTTTAGACGATGTTAATTATGCCTTGAATCTTGTTGAGAAAGTTTACACCACATACGAAACAAAAGTGAGCATTGAAGAAGGCTTCACACAAAATGAAAAAAAACACTGCAGGATGTACACGTCTTTGACACTCACAAAAAACCAACGAAACTTTGAGTCACGCAAACGAAGCAACCCGGCCACATTCAAAATAACATTGACAGTCTTGAATGCCCAATTTGAAGCGATTGTGGTCACAAAAAATCAATTTCGACAAAAATTAGTGCAACATTTTCTCTTATTGGATGTAGTAGGCCAGCCTGTTGTAACCACGTTGCTAAAAAAGGTGCTGTGACCAGGGTTGAGCAAGAGGTGTGGCACACGACCGCCGGATACGACTTCCTCCTACCGTTAAGTGCCTTAATAAACACTTTATCGTACAGCACCAGGCGTAGCATGGCCCTACCAAGCATAATAAGTAACATATTTATGATTAGCCAACCAGATAGCTCTTGTGGACCAAGTTGTAGATAATTCTGCATTTTCCAGTCGAGTCACAAGTGAAATTGTCATTTGCAAACAAGATTAACTTTGCTTAAAGGTGAATTAACTAATTCGTTTTTTTGTTCGGTAGAGAGCACTTTTTTATCTAACAAAATGAGAAGTCCACTTCAAGTAAACGCCAGCTCATGAATTTAGGAACGACAAAGTCCTTTTTTAGAAGGTTGTGCCACACTTCTTGCCTTCAAAGCATTTACATCTACATTTTTCAAAACTTTGATTCATTAATCAAGTAAGGAGGGAGGATTGAGCCTTGTAAATCTTATAAATCTGAGTAAACGTTGTTTGAAAGCGAAAATGAGAGAAACGAGATTGGCTAGCTCCTAATTCAGTAGTTGTTGGTATTTACTGGAATGAGATTTTTTTATGTGGGTAAAGGAGCAGTGCTTTGCATAGAGTGTAAAAGAAAGTAGCTAACTCATCTACAAAACAAAGCTAGTCGCAATGAACAATGACCATTTCACTTGGGTGGGCTTGATATTTGATTCTAGAGTTCGCTGAAACTTGACTCACGAGGAGCATTTGACACGCTAATTCTGAAAATAATGCCCATTTTGTTTGATAGGCTTCTTTATTATGCTTAGCTGATATCTTAGTAGAAACCCTCAAATGTGCTACTCCCCCACGCTACTCGCTTGACCCTGTTGTGACTGTTAGGAAATGAGCGTGAGAATTCAAATCAGGGTCATTACTGTAAGCAACGAAGTCGTAAGTTTCTTCTCAATTCTTGAAGCGATATAATGGATATTGCAAAATCAAAATATTTTACTTCTTGGTTTTCGATGGAATTATGTTTTTCAACGCTAATTACCGTGATGCATATATTCTCCTGTTTTATCTGTTTTCGACTCAATTTCTAGGTCTGTGTACGATCGGTGATCAGTTGTGTGTGCTGTGTGTGGACTGTGATCTATTGCTGCCACGCGGGACTTACGCACAGCGAGTACACCTCAAACTTGAGTAATTAAACTTTATTACAAAAATGCAACTAAAACTACAAAACGAGTACGATAATGAAACGCAACTAGTATATTTTAGATATACGTAATCCAAAGAGCCTGTGAATTACTGTGAGGGATCTGTGAAAGGGCTTTGAGTCCGTGAACTATGAGATAGTAACAAAGGCGACTGTGAGAAGGATATAATCTATACGATGAAATAACCAGTTGCAATCAAACAAAGAAAATTAAAATATAAACTCATAGCAATGCTCGTTAAGCTGTGTCGGCCACTCATATATGTAAGCGAATATAAACAAAACACCAGTGAGCATGAGAATATTACAGATAAAACAGCTAACAAAACAATAGATACGTGCCTGCGAGAAACTTCGCGCTTCTGTCGTTGTTAGTCACGCGGAATTTGGGCGCAAAGTACAATCAGTTCGTATAGTTTGTCTATGTCCTTTTGCAGCAAAAGTACTTGCTAAAGCGTTCGTCTCATTCACGACTTCTGATTGTAGCAATCATCGATTTGAATTTAGGGAAATGGATGGGTTAGAGATTCATGGTTGACAAATAGTCACTGGAGCCAAAAAGATTTTATGTTTCATGACAGGAAAGAGAAACGCAAAAAGCATTTTAATGGAACGCAAGAACTGTAAGTTAAAAAAATTGTGCTTGTGATTATGCCTTACTAGCTGGCTTACCCGGCTCCGCCGTATCCGGACCAAACTTGGCACACATACACTTCGGGCCCCGGCGGGTGTCACAGTCCACTTTTCGTTATCGATCAATGTCGATTTTACCGATTTTTATCGATTTTTTGCAGAGTTCACCTACAGGGCTAGGAGTTGGCACAGGGGGGGGGGAAGTGAGCATGGGGATTCCGAATACAATATTAGTTTTCAGAATTATCGATTACTTTTATTGATTTTATCGATTTTTTGTAAATTTTGACTTGCGAGGCTGGGATTTTGCACAGGGGGGTAATCGAGCATGCTGATTACGAACACAATATTAGTTTTCAGGATCGTCCATTACTTTTATCGATTTTATCGATTTTTTTGTAAAGTTTGAGCTAGGGGGCTGGGAGTTGGCACAGGGGGGTAATCGAGCATGCTGATCATCCCCCTTGGGAATGATCAGCATGCTCGATTACCCCCCTGTGCCAACTCCCAGCCCCCTAGCTCAAACTTTGCAAAAAATCGATAAAATCGATAAAAGTAATCGATAATCCTGAAAACCAATATTGTATTCGGAATCCCCATGCTCGATTACCCCCCTGTGCCAACTCCCAGCCCCGTAGCTCAAACTTTGCAAAAAATCGATAAAATCGATAAAAGTAATCGATAATCCTGAAAACCAATATTGTATTCGGAATCCCCATGCTCGATTACCCCCCTGTGCCAACTCCCAGCCTCGTAGCTCAAACTTTGCAAAAAAATCGATAAAATCGATAAAAGTAATCGATAATCCTGAAAACCAATATTGTATTCGAATCCCCATGCTCGATTACCCCCCTGTGCCAACTCCCAGCCCCGTAGCTCAAACTTTGCAAAAAATCGATAAAATCGATAAAAGTAATCGATAATCCTGAAAACCAATATTGTATTCGGAATCCCCATGCTCGATTACCCCCCTGTGCCAACTCCCAGCCTCGTAGCTCAAACTTTGCAAAAAAATCGATAAAATCGATAAAAGTAATCGATAATCCTGAAAACCAATATTGTATTCGGAATCCCCATGCTCGATTACCCCCTGTGCCAACTCCCAGCCCCGTAGGTGAACTCAGCAAAGAAATCGATAAAAATCGATAAAATCGATATCGATCGATGACGAAAAGTAGCCTATGACACCCGCCGGGGCCCGTAGTGTATGTGTGCCAAGTTTGGTCCGGATCGGTTCAGAAATGGATTTTTCTATTCGGAACATACGTACAGACAGACAGACATACAGACAGACAGACAGACAGACATACAAACAGACATTCAGCTTTATATATAAGATGCCCAAGAAAACGTCATCTTGCAGGGTTCTCGATGGGCCCAAATTTGACTGGTTTGACACGTTAAAAAAGCCGTTGATTCTTGACAGATGCACAAAGGGTAAGTTCTAAAAAATTTTGAAATATCATCTGTCTTGCGTACATTACTGTAGTTGCATTACGCAAGCGAGATATACTTACGCCTCCATTTGCTCTGTAAGGCGATTACATGTTAAATAGAAATTTGAAGTGCTGTTTTATTTGATTGTGAATTTTGATTTTGCCAATAGCATTTATTAGGCTGGAAACTAAGTTTTGCAACTGGTTTCATAACTCCACTATCTTTGGATATGGCGCACTCAAACTTTGGCATTTTGTAGAAGGCAATGTGAGCTACAAGTGAGCACAAATTGTCTTAATTTTGAACACGAAATAGAAACGCTTCAGGCGTTTTCGAAAACTAGTGCAATTCGGGATTTTCTGGGGTTTCAAGCTAAAATGAAGCCATTGGCAGCCTAGACCATGCGCAGTAACCCGGATTCGTCTATAAATTATTGCTGGACGTTGACTCCTTTGGCCTATCAAGAAAGAAACAGAATTTAGGGGCATGCCGAGATTTGGCGTCCTCATAAAGTCGAACGAGTCGATGGCAAGAGCTGCTGGGGACGACCGTCAGTGATTAAATTTTGCGAAGCTCAAATTCCTCCGAGACTTTACATAGTAAGGTTATTTGACCTGACAAACGCGAATATCACATTCATTTGTTGAATCAACGCCTTTTTCCTTGTTTAGGGTGAGACCCAGAACGTACACCTACAGTAATCCTACAAAAAAGCCCTTATCACACAATTTCACTATCGTTTTCGTGATTAGCATGTCGGATAACACCCCTATGCCAAGTTTCAGCCAAATCCGTCAAAGTTTGAATTTTTTCCCTTTATACCATGCACCTATCGTAACCCTCACTGCGACGTCAGAATTTGGTAGGAGAGCAGCTGCGCTTGTAGCTTACGTAATAACCAAAGCAGTGGCAAAATTTGAGTGCGCCATGTTGATTGAGAAGGAAGTTATGAGACCAGTTGCAAAACTTAGTTTCCATCCTAATGATTTCTTCCACCCGCCATCAAAGCCGTGTGTTCTTTATATATATATATATATATATATATATATATATATATATATATATATATATATCAGTGGCGTACCGAGGGGGGGGGCGGGGGGGGCGCGCGCCCCCCCCGAGAATGGGTCGCGAAATTTTTGAAAGTTACTTACATGAGTTATAAAAATGTGCAAAAGACTTATTTATACTTGTAAGTAATTAAAATAATTTTTAAAAATTTTTAAAAATTCAATTTAGCCTTATAAAAAAATTTTTTTAGGGGGCGTGGCTGACGCCACGCCCCCTTTTTCTGAAATTTCAGGGTCCTGAGCCCCCGAAAATTTCAAGAAGCATACCAAAAATTTTTTCGGAGTGCGTGGCTGACGCCACGCACCTTCATTTAAAAAAAAATTTTTGTCGCGCCCCCCCCGAGCCGAAATCCTGGGTACGCCACTGATATATATATATATATATATATATATATATATATATATATATATATTAGGTTGAACCGAAAGTTCTGTCGCACCATTTTCAAAAAACCATAACAGTACTCTGCGTTGATACCACTGCTT